CAGTTTTGCAAGATGAAAAGAGTTCTGGAGATTGGCTGCACAACAATATGAATGTACTTATGACCACTGAACTGTACACTTAAAAATGGTTAAGACGGTAAATTTTATGTTATGTGTATTTTACCACAATTAAGAATACAATTAATTAATTAATGGCCTAGTGAGGGAAGACATTTACTTCAATAAATATACTAATTTACAAACCAGATATAGTGTAGAGCATCAGGTAAACTCTGATGTAAGAAGCTGCATCTGCAATTTAATTAAAATTACTGGCATATTAAAGTGAGAAGGGATATTGGAAGTAATATAATTCAACTATCTAATTTCGCCAGCAAGAATAATAATCATAGAAAAGAGCATTAACTAAAAATTAGAGGAAAAACTAGGATCAGAATCCAGGTTTTATTCAGAATGCAAGGTTCTCTTACAATAACCAGCACCATTACAATCCCAAACAATTCAAGAAGTGAAGGCTAGCACTTACTGCATTACTTGCCTGTGAAAAGTTAATGAAAAGTGAAAATAATACTGCAGGGAGTAGTTGGCACAGCTGGGTTTTTATCTAGGTTCTATCTGTGGGATCTCAAACAAATACAACACACTGTAACGCTACACCATCTCATGGGATTAATGTAAGAATCAAATGAAAGCCCTATTACAAATGAAAAGTATAATCTTCTCCCCCATCCCCATTCCTCCAGATTCTCCAAGTCTCTAGGCAAGGTTCCCATCATTCTGCAGTGGGGGTGAAGAAGAGGAGATGGGGATGTAACCCTACCATTCTGACTAGGTGGAGTTCTCTTGTTCTTATTTTACATATGGAAGCCAAGTGGGAGAGGAGGGAAAAAAGGTAGGAAGGTTGCTCCTAATAAGCAAAGAAAAACCTCTTTCTGAATGAAACAATTATCCATACCTCCTATCAACTAAAGATTCTGAGAATCATAAGCTCTTTATACTGTTCATGTCAAAATTATCTTTTTCTGCAGTAAAATCCTTGTAAAAACTTTTTACTTTTAGTACATTTCAGAAAATTGTACAATAGTTATTTGGATATGTATTTATCTTTCCTACTCTACTGCAGATGTATCCAAAGCAAGGACTCAGTATTTAGCCTTTAGGAGTTGTTTGTGAATTGTCTTACTTGGGTCAACATTCAGCTGCAATACAAAGCTAGGTGGCTAAAGTTGTGCCTACAAGAACTGGATGAAAATGAAGAATTGAATGAAAAAGGAAACAAGAATTTTATCCTCCTTTGACTTCCCCCAACCTCTATTATTTATTTCTAAAGACCTAGTCAGAAGTCCTCCACAAACATTCTACATTGCCATACGCTTATTTGTATTTTTATATTAATAACACTTTATATAAAGTGTTTTCACTCCAGAAATGAAAATATTGAAAGTACACCAAATGGGTAATTTTTTAAAAACCTAACTTATCTGGTAAACAAATCTTGTGCAAAATATTCATTATATAAAACGTGCACAAAGATACTTTTTAAAAGAGAAAATATGTGCATTATGTGACTATCCATTTATATTCAGAATCTCATTCAAATGTGAACTATATCTTAATTTGTAGAATCAAAACAGTTGTAAATAAAAATCATAGATATAACTTTTTCCCTGCACTCACAATATACATTAATTTTCAGGAACATCAAAAAAAGAATATCCTGGAGACAAACCCTATCTCCAAGTACCAGAATTCATGTATCTTCACCACCTAATTCACAGAAACTTTTCGTGCAGCATAAAATAACTATATTGTAGATGTAAGAATATTTAAGGATTCCACAGATTTGTGCATTTTTTCCCAAATTTCTTAAGAATCACCAGGGGAGCTTATTAAAAATACAGATTACCAACATTCTCCCCTAGAGATTCTGATTCAGTTCCTCTGGGCAAGACAAAAATCTTTATTCCTCCAAGTAATTCAATGATTAAGTTTGGAAAATTGTGATCCAGTATAGTTCTCAAATTAGCAGTTATTAGAATAATCTGAGCTTTTAAAAACCTTAAAACTTAGCCAGAGGCTCAGGCATGGCAATGACATCACCACCTTTTAAAAAGTTCCTGAGTCATTCAAGAACCAGATCTTGTAGAACTTGAAAAATTCTTGTAGAACTCTTATCAGTTAAGAAACTAGGTTTGCTCAACTTCACAAAGCTAAGTGGAGCTACAGCCATTTTTCTTGGCTCCTAGTTCACTTTGTTTCTTGATGTAGTTGTTTTGTTTTTCATGTAAGTTGACCAAAAAAAAAAAAGGTGTGTAAAAATAAACCATGTCTTTTTGCCTTAAAATAGTACCACTTAACAACTGAATAAATTAAGATGGAGCAAACATTGTTTCAGAAATCACTAGAAAGTATTTTTAGTCCTAATATAAAATAAAAAGGACTAAATATCACTACTTCATTTTAAATTCTTACCAAGATGTTAACATATCTTACACAGAATTCTTTAAAAATTTCTTTTTAACCTCTAATTGTGTTCCAAAACTTCAAATTATTTTTAAAGCCTGGCACCACAGTTCCTTACTAGTAAAGTTATTTTGACACCTGAATTTGGTGACATGGTTTTCTCACTACATAGACTACATAATTCTATATATTGAAGTGCCCTGTGAAGTAACAAAGAACAGATTTTCTTCCACAAACGCAAAGAAAAATGAATTTTAGCCTCCATAGGCAAAACTTATCACCGGTTTGTCCAGATATTCAGAGTGGAAAACTTTCAAGACATTAGTTAACCTATTCCAACAATTTTCTCATTTTAGTAACAAGATAATGTAAAAACAACATGAAAAACATGTCAAGTGCAAGCTTACATACTCATAATTTTGTGTGTGTGGGGGGTTACTTTCTAAAAACTACTACATGTTTAATGCTTTCTGGTGATCTACTCCTATTAGTTCAGTATCAAAGTTGTCAAAATATTTTATCCCTCTCAAGGTCGCCAGATATTTAGGTATTTCAAATTTCTAAGTGTTTGTGACTTCTGCTTCTGGGCTTTTTAAAATGTTTCGAATGCTTTATAAAAAGCAGACCACATTACTCCACAGGTAGAACTTCTATACAGCCTAGAGTACAATGTGTACTTTTGATTACTTAATTCCCAAAGGAGTAACTGCCAGGTTCTAGATTTTTAAATATTCTACGTAAGTCAGATTCAATGGGTTTTGCAATCACATTTAACAGATTCTAGCAATATTAAGAAAAGCTCTCTTTTTCTTAACCATTAAGATACCAATGTTCAGGCATGTGCTGCTTAACAAAGGGAATATATTCTGAGAAATGTGTAGTTAGGTGATTTCATCCTTGTGTGAACATCAGGGTGCACTTACACAAGCCTACATGGTGCAGTCTGCGACTGTAACTGTACGAGCTGCACTTCTACAGGACTGGCAGCGTTGTGGGTCTGTTTACACCAGCATCACCACAAACAAGTGAATAATGCCTTGTGCTAAAATGTTAGAACAGCGACACGTCACTGGCCAATAGGAATTTTTCAGCTCCATTACTGTGTAATCCTATAGGACCTCCGTGTATATTTGATCCATTCTTGACCCACACGTCATCCCCTCCGCCACCCCCACCTCCACCCCCGCACAAGACTGTAAGCTAAAAACCTAATCAAAACTTTAATATGCTGTTTAAGCTATTTAAAATCTGTGAATACCCCAAACCATTAAATGGAACCAAGAGTATGCCTATAAAAGGCATTGCAAAATTTAAAGAATAAGAATCTCAAGTAAATGTTCAAGTGATACACGTATTTACAAAATTGGGCTAGATGGGGTAATCCATGGACCTTCCACTAGGTGCTACGGTAAGGTTGGCAGAGCCTAAGTATTTGTGTTAACATTTTAAACTTGGTATTTGCCATTTCAAGTACATGGCATTTCGGGTTGCTTAAATATTTCCTAAAAACAAAACAAAACAAAAAACAAAAACAAAAAAACCCAAACATGTTTATTTTTTGGAATGTGCTAGGGTACCAGTCAAAGACAACACCAGTTATTACCAGTTCGTGCCTGGTCCTGTCAGGCCCTGGCCCGCAGCCCCAGCCCGGGGCAGGGGTCGCACGTGCGGCGGGCGGGGCGGGAGGCCGGAAGGACCCGCGCGGTGGGCAGGGACGGGACAGAACGGGAGGGGGCCAGCCTCCCCACGGCCGCCAGCCCGGCCTCCCAGGGCGCCGTCCAGCGCGGCGGCCCGGAGACACCTCGGTCATGCAGGGCCCGCCCGCCCCCGTCCAGCCCTCTCCTCCGACACACAGACAGACAAGGTTCCGACCTGCCGCGCCCTGCGTGTTCACAGTCTGTCATGTTTGGTCAGGAGCGGGGCGGGGCTGCGGGCCGGTCTGCGGGGCACGGGACCCCGGCCGCCCGCCGTGACGAGGCGGTAAAAACTCACGGTTACTAGTGAGCGACACAGACACAGACTTTCCAGTCTGTTAACAACCACGCCAGAGAGATGGGCTCTCTGCAAACACGGGGCGCGGCCGCAGCCGGCGCCGCCGCGCTAGTCTCTACTCGCCGCCGGCGGCCGAGGCTCGGGAGCGGGCGGGCGGAAGCGCCGCGACGCGGGGGTTTGGACAATGGCCGCAGTGGTGACTGCTCCTCACCGACATGGCGGCCCCGGGACGGCGCTCGACAAGATGGCGTCGCACACCAGCCCGGGGCTAGAGGCGCAATATCCCTCCGCGCGCCCCGCCCACACCCCAGAGCACGTAGGCCATTGGATGAGGCGGCCGTCGGTAACTTGAGGGGTGGGTTCCCAGCCTTCTTGGATCCGCGGAGGCGGCGTGGTCCGGGAGGCGACGTCCGTTTGGGAGGCGACCTCCGCCCTTGGATTGGTGTGGCCTTCGTCTCAGTGCAGTCAGGGACGCTGCTAACCAAAGTTTGGGGAGGCCCCTAACAAACGGCTTCTGAAGCCGTCCGCCAGTGTGGGTTGTTTGGGGTAATAGAGATCGTTGACTGGTTTTTTTAATGAAATCTATGTTGCTTAAATGATGGAGAAATGTGCTTTCTCCTTAAAAGTCGCAGTGAGCCTCTCTTTTTCTAATGTTTAGTGTTCGGGATCGCGTTTTGGGGAAAACAGTTTGGCTTAGTTCTGGAGGAAAATTTCTTGCTCTTGATTAAGATGGTGGACTTCATGGTTGATCCACCCAAATACTTGATTTCCTTTGTCTCTGCTTAGTGTGAATGAAAAGGGGCTACAGTAGGCCAGATAAGTTCAGGGGGGCCACCTGGCAGGTTGGGTGACCGAAAGTAGCTACCCAGGAGGGTCTGATCACAGGTCATGAGGTTAACAATCCTGCAGCTTTCTTAGCAACTTCATTCTTTGCCTTAAGTGAGCCCTGTTCATTGTTCTTACGCATCTAGAATAACGCACATTTAAAAGGTCAGGGTAATTTTCTTTTCCAACACCTCCACTGGCACCAAAGCAGGAGACCGTGAAACTAACTCCTCGTTGTTACCTTACTGCCCATTTACTGACTGTAAATGTTAAATGTTAATTATCCCATACCCAACCGTGTAAAAGGCTTATGTATCTCTACATTTGCTTTTTATCCAATTCTAGTGATTTCAGTGCTTAGCTTTCTCCCGCCTCCCTAATTTACCACCAGTGGATTTTGTGTACCTTATAATTTTTTCCTTTGATTCTATTGCATAAAAGGGACAAGGAAACTGCCATTCTCCAGACCCCTTTTATACTAATCCTAGCTTCTTCTCTTCCTGTGAAAATTACATCAATACTGAGCTCAAATTCGCCCCTTTCAAGACTTCCCAACCACACAGGCTGTCTTGTGAATCGCTAGTTCTTGGTACTTTTTATTGAACTTTTTGCCTAGAAGTTGTGTTTAACCCCATTGTATGACAAAACAAGTCACCTAAGCCGTCCGCACCTGTTTCCTCATCTAGAAAATGTGGAATAGCACCTGCAGTACGAGTCCTGCCATTCTGTGAGCAATAGGTGGGTTGAATATGAAACATGCCTGTTGCAGAGCAAGCGCCCAAATCAATGGTAGCTACTGGAGTTTCCATTCAAAGGAGAATCCTAAAGGCCAAGCCTAAAAACTATAGTAAATATATTTTTTAAACGGGCAGTAAGGCACAAGAGTATGCAGACTTAGGGCGGTGCCTACGCGGGACTAAGGGTGAAGGTATAAAGCGCGTGCGTAGTGGGGCGGGACTCGCAGGCCCGGAGGGGGCGAGTGGCGCATGCGCCGGAGGCCTTCCCGACTCTAATCCTCTCTATACTCTCCGCGGCTGCGGAACTCTGGACGGGAGGATGGATTTTGAGAATCTATTCTCCAAACCTCCGAACCCGGCCTTGGGCAGGAAACTGCCCACGGACTCCGACGCCACGGACTCCGACAACAGGTGATGCCCGATGTTTTCGGTCTGAGCGCCGGGGCCCTAGCGGGTTCCGCCCCCTCACGCTTTCGGTGGGCTCGGGACTGCAGAGCGTGGGGAGATACGGGGCTCCGGGGCCTCTCGGACGCCGGGCGATGGTGCCGGGCGGGTGCGCGGGTAGAAGCTGGAGGTGCGGCTCCCGAGCGGAACCTGAGGGCGCCGGAATGCTCTCCGTCCTCTTCCTCGACACCGGTGGTGAGCCGCCTGTGACCTTATAGCACGTGTGAGCTGCTGGAGGACAGAGGTCATCTGTCATTTCTCACCGACACGTGCTAGGCACTTTTTTTTGTAGGAACTGCCAACAATCAGTTCACCAAGCGATGAAGAAGAAGGAATGAATAGTATGCTTTTAGTCCACTGATCAGCATCAAAAGACCCTAGAAACCATCGGAAATCAGCAAACACCTTTTAGATATATTTATTAAACAGGAACTGAGGCCGCTGGCCAAATGGCGCTAATTTATTGATCTCATTCTTAGGGATGAGAATAGTTACACTCAGATATTCATTCACTCTATTCTCTGTGACTTTGAAATGCTAAAAACCCACCTTCTAAACCCACATCTTTGCCACCATTTCACTAAGCCAAAATAATAACACACTGCCTTTACTCCTTTTTTTCCTCTCTATCTGTGATAAATCTCTTAATCTGGTTGATTTACCTCTGTATCATTCAAATCTTTTCATTTCTCTCTGCCTCACATACCTTAATTGGAACTATGGCTTTAATTCAGGCTTCCATTTAGATAGAGCTTTACTTTGGTACTTTACACAGAATGTCATTTAATCTTCTCAACCTTTAAGAGAAGATATTTTCATTTTTGTAGATGAGAAAGTTGAGACACAGAGATGATAAATAATTTGCCAAGATCACACAATGTAACTAGCAAAAGTAGGATTAAGTTACTTAGTCTTATTCTAGGACCTGTGATTTCATCTCTACTTCTAGGGCACAATAGCTAAAATAAGACCTATAAATATTAAAAAGAGACAAATATACTAATTACTTGCATATGGTAGGATCATCTACAAAGAAAAAGCAGAGGAATCAATAAACTATCAAAATACATAAGAGAAATCAGCAAAGTGAATCATTACAAAAAAGAGAGTAGTGACATAAAAAACCAGTGGCGGTCATCAGTTTGAAAATTTTACTGAACTACTTTTATGTTATTCCTTTATGACACTTTTGGATATTTCCCAAAATGTCAGGTGAAAAGAAGGATATTACATTATGGTTTTGGTGAGCACCTGTGAACTGTTACTCATATCCTTTGCCTATTTTTCTCTTTAAAACTTTAGTATTTCTAGTCTGCAGATATGTACCCCCAATTTGTTATTTATCTTTTGCCTTTGCCTATGGCATTATTTTCAATGCATAAAGATTTTTGTTTTAAATGGATTTTTTCCTGGTAATTTTATTATGGAACTACTCATTTATTGAACACCTGCTAAGTACAGAACATTATTCTAGGCCCTGGGGATATAGCAATGAGCAAAAGAGATTAAAAAAAATCTTGTACTCAAGAGATTTATATTCTTGAGGCACAGACAATATATAACTATAAAACAGGTGCTCAAATAACGTAATTTTGTTCAATGTCTTTTAGTTCTAACGTTGATAAAAGATGCCTTAGGAACCTGACTTTTGTGTATATTAGTTAGCCTGTGGTAAAATTGGTTTCATTACTATATGGGATTTTAGGTGATCAGTGCCATAGAGCAGGTGAAAGAAGGGTAGTTGGATAGGAAGGAAGGATGGGCCCTGGCTGGTGTGGCTCAGTGGCTTGAGTGCTGGCCTATGAACCCTTGGTTCAATTCCTAGTCAGGGCACATGCCTGGGTTGCCAGCCAGGTCTCCAGTGGGAGGCATGCAGGAGGCAGCCACACATTGGTGTTTCTCACCCTCTCTTTTTCCCTCACTTCCTGTCTCTAAAAATAAATGAATAAATAAAATGTTGGGTTTTTTTTTTTTAAAGGATGGGATGATGGGAAGGATGTAGGTATTTCAAAGAAGGTAGTTAAGGAAAGCCTCACTAACAACATTGATAAGTATATTCGAGTAGGGACCTGAAGGAGGTGAGGGAGGTGGATGTTTAGTAGGGAAGCGTTCCATATATAGGGCCTGAGGTACGATGAACTTGGTGTGATTGGGTGGTGGGAGCAAAATGGCCAGAATGATGCGTGGGGTAAGAGTAGTCAGACTTGAGTGGTTTTGGGTGGTTTATGGGAAGCTGATCATGCAGGAATTTGTAGGTACCATTATAAGGATGTTGGCTTCTACCCTGAATGAGCTGGGAGGCCATTGGAAGGCTTTCAGCAGAGAGTGACAGTTTAGCCAGGTCATTCTGCATGTGTTGAGAGTAGAGTATAGATGGGCAAGAGTCACTTGCATCATAGTATCAGTGGCAAGAAGTGGTCAAATACGGATATATTTTAAAGATAAACTGGATGTCTTCATGCATTGGATGAGGGATATGAGGGAAGTCAAGGTCATCTTCAGGGTTTTTGGTCAGTATCACTAGAAGGTTGGAGTTCAAGATAGCAGGAGAATTGGATCAAAGTTCAGTTTTGCACATATTAAGATTATGTCTAGTAAATACCAGGTGGATATATGAGTAGGGAGTTGCCTCTGCCTGCCTGGGTTTCAGTCTCAGCGCCACCATTTACTAGGTCTGTGATGTGTTACATAAGCTTCCCATAATTCAGTTTCCTCATCTGTAAAACAGGCTTTTAAATAGTAGTATGCATGCCATAGGGTTCTTGTGATATGTGTAATGTCCATGAGACAGTGCCTGGCACTGAGTAATCATAATGCCGGTGTTAGCTGCTGTTGTCATGATTATTCTGCCAAAGGATAGGTTATTTCTTGCTCCCTTGATTTATTACTGAAAACCAGAGCAGTGAAAGTCCACGGTATTTGGTTTATTGGCTCTTGCAATGGGAGCTTCTGTAGAAGGCTCAAAAAACTTCATAGTTGATCTGGTGGGTATAACTCTGAAGCTCTGATTGCAGACATATCAGTGGCAAACTGTTGGATTGGGTGGAGCTATGAAGCCTGGGCTCCTCCTGCAGCTGGGAAAGAAGCACAAACCACCCTTCACCTTCTTGTCGGGTGTGGTTTTGAGTATGCGCACAATTGTCTAGTCCTCGCCTTTATCTTGAGTGTAACACGTCTTAAGCTTTATTCAGTAGCCACTACTTTCTGAGACAAAATTGTGTTCGGTGCCCCTGTATCTATAGCATCAACCATTATTTAGGTTTACTTATAAATTTTATTGGCTTCTTTGTTCACTAGTTTTTTGTATTTCCCATCTTTATCTTTTTTGGGTTCACTTTTAGTTTTGCTGGAATATCAAGTAATTGTCTCAGATGATGTGTATACATGTTCAACTTCTCAGACCTTGTGAGTGTGAAAACAGCTTCACTTTTTTCCTCTTGCCACTTAGAATGTCAGTTTGGGGCTCTCCTGGCCTAGGAAGGCACCCTGCATTCTCCCTGAAGTACTGGCCTTCCTCACACTCTTCTTTGTTTACTAACTCTTGCATGCCTTTTAGGTTCAGAAAGCCTCTGGCCCCCAAATATAGGTTGTGTTCTGCCTGCATATACACCTGTACTCATCACACTGTATTGAAATTGCTTTCCTTCTTTCTCCCAAGCAGATAGGAAGTTCTCAGAAGGCAGGGATGAGGTCTGTTTTGTTGATTGTTGTATCCTAGGATTTAAGGCCCCAGTCCTGGTATATAGTAGATACTCAGTATTTTTTGAATGAATGGAATTATAAGTTAATGGATAAATTTAAAAGCTGCTAATACTTGAACATTAAGGTTATATAATGAGATCTAAAATTTCAGCTTTACTTTTTACTCATAGGCATGTTGCTAGGTACTGCTCGTTATAGTTTTGTTTAATATTATTTTTCTGGAGTATTTGCAGTGGAATCTGTATTTGGAATTTCTTTGAGAGCAAGTTGAAGAGAAGCCAAAGCTGTGGATTTTGACACTGTGATGTGAACTCTTCTCAGGTTGAAAAAATCCTCTTGTGTTATTTGATATTTTTGCTACAGAATCGATGATGAAATAGATGATACAGAAGTCGAAGAAACACAAGAAGAGAAAATAAAATGGAAAGTAAAACTGGAGTGTGCGCGTATTCCCAAAAAAGTAAGATAAGTTGGCATATTGGAAAAACAGATAGGGATGGATATGAGAAATTTTTAGGGATCCTGTTTGTCTCATTTTAGTTAGCATTTGAGACCCAGTTACTCATATCAAACCTGGTGACACTTTTTGTCACCAAAGTGATATGAGTGATACATTTAAAAATGTATCATTTAAGGACTTTGTCTTTTACCATGAACTGTTTCCAGTGCATTGCTTTTATGTTTGTTTTCCCTGTTTCTGAAATGGGTTGTGAAGTGTTTCAAAAACTTCTTTTCAAATTACATCAAAATTTTAAGGATATTCATGGCTAACTTAATTAATCTTAGTGAGGTAAGGCTTAAAGTTTGTATTAGTTTGCTAGGACTTCCATAACAAAATACCACAAACTAGGAACTTAAAATGCAGACATTTATTTTCTCATGGGTCAAGAGGCTAGAATTCTGAGCTGAAGATGTTGGCAGGGTGGGTTTCTTCTTAGAGCCGTGGGAGCCGTGAAAGGGAATCTGTGCCAGGCCTTTCCCGTACCTTCTGGTGGTTTGCTGCCATCTCTGGTGTTCCTTGGCTTGGCTCCCAGAGTATCACCTTGATCTTTACCTACGTGTTTGAATGGTGTTCTTCCTGTGTGCATGTCTGTGTCTAAATCTCCTCTTTTCATAAGGACACTGGTCATACAGGGTTAGAGCCCATGCTGGTACCTTATTTTACTTATACGTACAATGGCCCTATTTCCAAACAAAGTCATATTTTAAAGTACCAGGGTTGAGGACTTCAATGTAAGACTGTGGGGGGAACACACTCAAGCTGTAACAAAGCCAATACCTGCTCCTCCTCTCTTGCCTCTTTTTTCTTTTGAACTTTTTTTAAATTATGAATTTTAACACATTACAAAAGAATGGGTTTTAATTGACAGTGAGACTCACAGATACAAATAGGCTTTACTATGATACTTTCATATTTAGCTTTGTAAAAGGATATAAGACAAAGTATAGCATGTACAGCATCTTCAGCTCCTAAGGAAAGCCTCTCAGCTAATCAAGTATGTCACTTCTTTTGCCCTTTAGGGCATGTCCGGCTGCCGTGGACGAGAGCCAAGATTGACAGGAGAAAGTGCAGCTTGGATTTCCCACTAATTTTTCTACTATTTTAATAACTTGGGCTCCAGTCAGAGTCCCCTAATCCGTGTGTAATACAACCCCATCCAGGAGATAGGCAGGTGCAGCGTTCTAGGATTGCCTTAGTAGTTTTCAAGAAACAGTACTGTGAGAAGATGGACCCTAGATTATTCCTAAGGAGGCTTGCTGTAGCCGAGGCTCTTTACCCACGTGTGTGTAGAAGTTGAATGGGTCTCAATTAGTTAAAAAGAAAGTACCCAGGTCAGCACATTGGAAGTCAAGGAAGATCATTACCATCAAAGCCTCTGGGCCTCCCTTCTCAGCCATACCCCTTGTTTCTTCCTAGAGATAAGTACAGTCCTACCTTGTGTATCAGTCACTTCCTTGCTCTTTACAGTTTTACTTAAGCTGTCACCCATAAGAATACTGTTGTTTCTTTCCCGTTTTTGCACTTTACAGAAATAGAATAGTGTCCTGTATGCTCTTTTTCTCAACATTATATTTGTAAGATTTATATAGCGTATACGTGTTTCCTTCTTTTCTTAGCTGCAGGTTATTCCATTAGTTGGATATAGTAGCTTCTATTGTTGGTAGACCTTTGGTCTGATTCCCGTTTTTGGAGTTACGGGCAACACCGCTCCATTCTCACTTGTATCGTGCTGCACGTGTACAGTGGTTCCCCTTACAGTTCTGCTTTCCTTGGTTCCAGTTACCCACAGTCAGCCACAATGTGGAAATATTAAATGGAACAGTCCAAAAAGAAACAATTTAGAAGTTTTAAATTGCACGGTGTTCTGAGTAGCGTGGTGAACCCTCATGCTGTCCTGCTCCATTCTGTCCAGGACATGAAGCGTCCCATTTTGGTCCAGCCCATCACTCTGTAGACGCTTCCAGGCCATTGATCGCTTGGTAGCTGTTTTGGTTATCAGATCGGTTGTCCTGGTGTCACAGTGCTTGTGTTCAAGTGACCCTGATTTTTCTTAATAATGGCCCCAGGGCACAAGAGTAGTGATACTGGCAATTTGGGTGTATCAGGAGATGTAAGGTGCTTCCTTTCAGTGAAAAGGTATGAGTATCGCACAATAAGACAGAGAGAGAGACCACAGTCACATAACTTTTATTATAACATACGTTGTTACAGTTGTTCTATTTTATTAGTCATTGTTCATCTACTGTGTCTAATTTATAAATTAAACTTTATCATAGGTATGCATATTAGGACAAAACATAGCATGTATAGGGTCCGACACCACCCTAAGTTTTTGGCGTCCCCTGGGGGTCTCGGAATGGTCAGGTGGGGACAACTCTACGCAGGAACGGAACTGCTGACTTTTTAAGTACCTTTACCCTTTGCTGTGATGGCAACTCATATTCCAGAGTGGTTCTGATTTTCCTTTTCCTTCAGAGGCAGCAGTATGAGGGACTGTATTTCTACATTCAAGAATGTTCCATTCTTGATACTGTTACCTTTCTAATTTTTTGCCATCTGGTGAGGTATCTCATTGTAACCTAGTTTGTATTTTCTTGATTACTATTGTGATGGACCATCTTTCCATGTTTGTACATTTGGATTGACCCCCTTTTTTTGTGCTTCTTAAGTCTTTTTGTCCTTTTTTATTTTAAATACTCACCTAAGAATATGTTTACTGATGTAGAGAGAGAGAGAAAAGGGGGTGGGGGGCAGAGAAACACTGATGTGAGAAAGAAGCATTGATCGGTTGCCTTCCATTCATGCCCCAACTGGGGATTGAACCCACAACCCAGGCATTTGCCCTGACCAGGGATCAAATCCACAACCTTCTGGTGCACAGCACAATGCTCCAACCAACTGAGCTACCCAGCTGGGACTGTCCTTTATTTAAACTGGTTGGTCTCTGATTGTTTTTATCTTCATTTATAGTTCTTTATTCTGGATATAAAGGGGATTTCCCCTTCATTATGGATTATGTGTTGCAAATATCTTCTTATTTTGTGGCTTTCTTTCCACTCAGTGGCTTTTTGTGATGAAAAGTTTATAATTTTAATATATATACATTTGTTAAACTTCTCCCCTATAGTTACTGCTTTCTATGTTTTATTCAAATATCCTGAGATAAAAATATTTTCCTACAGTGTCTTTATTATTTGCCTTTCACATTCAACTTTATAATCACCCAGGATTGATTTTTGTGTACACTATGAAACAGGGGAACAGCGAATTTTGTTTTACTTTTCTTCTTCGTTATCATACCCAATTGTTCTGGAGCCATCAACTGGGGACAAACGACTGCGTTTGCCCCAGTAGGTCTGCAGTATCACCATCGTCAAAAGTCAAGAGTTCATGTTCCAGTGGGTCTGTTTCTGGACTATTCTCCTCCACTGGTTTATTTGTCTGTTCTGTCCCTCAAGACCTGTGTGAATTACTACAGGTTTGTAATGAGTTTGGATATCAGGTAAGCAAGTCCTCACATCTTGGTTTTCTTCTTTATGTCTTGGCTATTCTTAGCCCTTTGCATTTTCATATAGATTTTAGAAGCAGTTTATCAAATTCTACAGAATATCCTGGTGGGAATTTTACTGGGAATGCATCGAATCTATAGACCATCTGGGGGAGAATTGACATCTTCAGAACAAGGAGTTTTTTTTAGGTCCTCTCTCACTTCTGCCAACAGTGTTTATAGTTTTCTTGGTGGATGTCTTATATCTCACACCCATTTTGTTAGGTGTTTGGTGCGGTTAGTGTCAGTTACATCTTTTTCTGTGTTGATTTCTCATGTGGCTGGCATGTGTAGTAGTGCTCGGGGTTAAACTTTTCAGTTCTTGTTAACCTTTCTGGAAATATCCTGAATTTATCCTCATAGTTGATAGGTCGTTTCGCTGAAATAGTATCAAGTTTGAGGTTATTGCTCCATTTTCTTCCATGCAGCCAGTGTTGCTAATGTAGAGTGTTGCCAGTCTGATTCTAGTTCCATTGTAAGTGTCCGGTTTTCCCTGGAAGCCTCTAGGTTCTTTATTTTTTGGTGTTCCTGAAGGTTGTGAATCTTTTTTCATTGATTGTGCTTAGTGTTTGGTGAGAACGTTCACTCATACTCCACGCATACCCTTCATATGTGAGGCGTGTCTTCCTTTTGTGTTTTCGTTCTCTTTGTCCTTTATGTATTTTTTAAAGATTTTATTTATTTATTTTTAGAGAGGGGAAGGGAGGGAGGGAGAAAGGGAGGGAGGGAGAGAAACATCAATGTGTGGTTGCCTCTCATGTGCCCCCTTCACTCCCCCTGGGGACCTGGCCTGCAGTGCAGGCATGTGCCCTGATTGGGAATCGAACCAGCAACACTTTGGTTCACAGGTCAGCGCTCAATCTACTGAACCACACCAGCCAGGTCCTTTATAATTTTTTAAAAATATTTATTTATTTATTTGTAGGGAGGAGAAGGGAAGGAGAAAGGAAGGAAAACATTAGAGTGAGAGAGAAACATTGATTGGCTGCCTTGCATAAGCACCACTGACGGGGACTGAATCCGCAACCTAAGCATGTGTCCTGACTGGGAATCAAACCAGTGACCTTTTGCTTTGCAGGCTGGTGCCCAACCAACTGAGCCACATTAGTCAGGGAGTCTTTTATATTCTAAGAAATTTCCTCTATTTCTGTTTATCTTTATTTCATAAATCATAATTTAACTTCTCAAGAGTTATTTCTTGTTCTTTGTTTTGTTGCTGCATTCTAGCATTGTTTTTTGAATATAATACTAAGTATTTAAATACTTAAATATTTTTGTGTCTTTATTTTTAATTCCTAAGTTCTGTTTTTCCCTTGAATTATATTTGCTTCTGGATCACTTTCCCCTTTTTCCTGCCTTTTTGTTTTATACTCTAGATTAGGAGTCAGTAAACATTTTCAGTAAAGGACAAAACAGCATAAAAAAGTTTTTGTAACGTGGGTTTTGCTAATGAGAAGAATGGGATTCTTCTTTTTGGGATAATAAAGGAGTTTGGAGTTAGTACTCCTGTCAAAATTGATGGCAAAAAAAAAAAAGAAAAGTTGATGGCAAAGATTTTTCTCGTAATATTGATCTGTAATGAGACTCTATACATTTCCATCTTTGAAGACGTCTTTTATTGCAGACAGGTACTGCCAGTCCACAGCATGGTTTTCGTTGGGCATATTTATTGGTTGGAAGGCATTTGTAGAACTTGATTAGACTCTTCTCTTGAAGTTTGCCTTTTAGCATGTCTTTACATTGCAGAGTAATCACTTCCATTTGAAGGTTAGGTGGTAATTTCTCAGTTGCAGAGTTAAATGGATTTTGAAGTGACATTTTTCTTTGCATTTGTGTGTAAGTCACTGCTGTTTGAGCCTGGAAACCATACCTGCTGCAATTTGGGTGGGAATGGACATCTTGCTCCTTGTTTTATCTTTGGACAGCACGGGGATACTGAGCAGTATTGGTAACATCTCAGCTCTTTGAGAGCCAAGGAAAAGCATTTGATAGTATTTGTCCTTTTTTAATTGTCAACGTTTCTCTCAGTTTCCTCGTGTCTTTGAGCAACTGTAATTGCCAAAAGGCCAGTGTCTTAAGTAACTTTATTTTCTCTGGCTGCTTTTTCAATTGCTGCAATCAAACAAGAGTTAATTAACTTGCCCTCAGCTGTCTTTGGTGGCCAGCGAGCAGCCTATTCAGAAACTTACTTTGATTTCAGTCCATTATCATTTTTTATTTTTGTGAAGAAATAATTCTATGATCATTTTGTTTTACTTCTTGGAATTTTTTTAACCATTGAGTTGGGACCATTGTGATGAATGATTAGTATTGCAGTGTTGAAATATATTACGTTCTTTAAGCATAATCATCATAATGTTTTGCCATCTAATTGGACAACAAAGTCATCCATATTTCACTGTGCCTTAAATATTGGGTTGGCTAAAAATTTTGTTTTTTCCATACGATGGCTCTTAGTAGTGCTTAGGTGTCTTTAACTTCATTCAAAATAGTTCCGTTAGATTATATTGTAACAGCTGTCACATTGGGCGTGTATTTTTTTAAAAAAAACTTATTAAAGCCCTGGCTGGTGTAGCCCCGTGGATGGAGTGTGAGCCTGCAAACCGAAGGGTCACCAGTTCGATTCCCAGTTAGGGCACATGCCTGGGTTGTGGGCCCGGTCCCCAGTAGGGGGTGTGCGAGAGGCAACCATGCATTGATATTTCTCTCCTTCTCTTTCTCCTTCCCTTCCCCTCTCTCGAAAAATAAATAAATAATATCTTTAAAAAATAAAAAACTCATTAATATTGGTGAATAGTTGTGCAGCCATTTTAGTATTGAAGATAGAAGAAAAATACACATTTCAGAACATTACGTATGCTTTATTACTTTAAGAAAGGTAAAAACACAACTGAAACAGAAAGTATATGAAGAAAGTGCTGTGTCTGATCGAACATGTCAGAAGTGATTTGCAAAATTTCCTGGTACTATTGAAATTTTGGCCAAATAACTCTTTGCTGTGGGGCTAATACATTGGCAGGTGTTTAGCAGCACCCCGGCCTCTACTTGCTACAAGCCAATAGTGGGAGATAGTCAACTTACTCAAAACATCCAGATCAATAAAGTTACTGATGAAAATGAAAAATGTGTCTTTTATTTTACAGAAAAAACTAAATGGACTTTTTGGCCAACCCAAAACATGGCATTCGAAGTTCACTTTTCATGTTTTGACATGGTGGGTATGCACTGGAAATGAAAAAAATGTCACGGCTCGGCAAAATGCTATCACGTTCTAACCGTCACTGAAATTTATAGTGCACTGAAGTGCTCCCAAATGCCAGAACGTGGAGAACTTGCTCTGAGGTCTTACTACCCACATAAGGAGACTTGGCTTTTCTCAACTATTTTCTTCAGTTTCTGTGGAGAATAGTCTTCTCTTTTTGCCCAGGGTAAACACCCCCACTCCCCCTCTCTCTCTAAGGGTAAACTTCTCTTCGATTATGTTCTGTTGAGGGCTGGGCAGAGAGAGCTTGTTATAATAGCTTTGTCTGCTTTAGTGTAGAGTTTTAATTTGTCCTCAGTTAATAGCCTCATTTTCACATTCAACCTAAGCCCAGCCTCCACCTTAGAGCTTGCTTTTGTTTATCAAAAATCTGCCAAGAACGTGTTGAATTCCTGTCAATTCTGGTGAATGTACTTTATGTTCTCTCCACTCCCCCACCCCAGCTCTACCACGGAACTATGAATTTTTACGTTTCTGTACTTTATTTCTGTGGAATGTCAGGAAGCTATACTGGTTCAGTAAACTATTCTGAATGAAAGGCAGGAAAGTCTTTTACTTAAAACTACTTTATTTAAACTTCTTTACAAAGGGAGGAAAAAGTTATATGTGCGCTTTCTAAGTTATATAGGAAACAGCAAATGTCAAAGCAGTGAGTTTATACTAGTTGTGTGAAAAAAGTATTTTAAGCAGCATTTGTACTCGGTGTATTTCAGTGCCCTCTGAAAAGAATCAACTGGTAAGACTCATTTCTAATGTGTAGTAAAACAACATAGCTGATGATTGTCCTGGTTTTATTTCTGCTAAGTCATTTAATCTCTTTCTTTAATGCAAATAAACCAGACATACTATTACTTGCAGTTAAAGAGGTCTGCTTCAGTAGGCCTGCTTGTTTTATGCAAGGGGGACCCTTAGTCACCCATTCGGATTGTTGTAATATTTTGATTCAATACTCTGAATGTAATCTTATCTCTGTGTGTTTGACTAAGCTGAGCTGCGTGGGAGCTTTGGCTACTGAATGATTTTTTTGGTTCTTTTGTGCCCACTAAATAAAATTAGCATGAAACCAAGGTAAACACAATAATCACTGCAGGAGTCAGCCAGCTCTTCCGTACAGGAGCAGATAGTGCATCTTTCCAATTTCATGAGCAATGTTGTCTCTGCCACAACTAGGCAGCCATAGATATAGGTGATGAGTGACTGGGTGTGACTGTGTCCCTGCAAAACTTCATTTACAAAAGCAGGAGGCCAGGCCAGTGTGCCAACTCCTGACCAGAAACTTTGTTTATATATTCTTTTATGGCATTAGTTGAGGGGAAAATGCTCTTCCTTGAGAATGTGGAGGTGAAGAACTTGGTGGCCTGAAGACTGCTGGATTGGTTGGCGATCCAGGAAGCTTTCTCAGTTTGCGTTCTTCAAGCAGGAGCACATTCATTCTTCTAGGCGTACAGTCAGTAAACCTTTAAATTGGACCACCTGATATGGGTTACATAGTGATTCTTCTGTTTTGTTTCTTGTTTGAGTTCTTCGTCTCCATCGGTTATGAGAAGGTAGGTAAGAGACCAGGCCTAGAAGTGTTCTCTGGAGCAGGGTCATTGGGCATTTTAACAATACACATGTCATCTCTACCTGACATCAAATTAGGATCCTGTAAAAAAGGAAGAAAAAAAGGAGCCCTTTACACTTGGGTATTTAAAATAAACTATTTAATTGAAATATATTTTCCATATTGATTATAATTATTGAGCTGGGTATACCTGTGTAACCAGTACTTGGAAATTTTTATACTCAGAGTGGTTCAAGCTGTCCATTGTGATCACCCCAGGCTCTCCAACGTCAGCTGCCAGCCCTGGGCTTCTGCTGCAAATGGGTACCTGTGTTTGCAGCTGTCATCTCGGAACAGCTCCATCAGCAGTCAGAAAAGGATTTCTGAAAGTTACCCTGAGTGGAGAATCGGGCAGCTCTTTCTTCCTTGTCGTTATGGCTGCCACCTCTTCTGCCAACAATGCTGTGAATTGTGGGGAAAAGAATAGGCTTTGGCAGCTATGATTTATCTTTGTGTAGTGGGTTTTTAATTGGACCATCACCATCTGCTTTTATGAAATCATGAGTTACTGAATTAAACCATTTAAAAGTAGAGTCAATGCAAATGGAGAAATGTGAACTATGATACTGTAATTTCTTTATACCAAGTAATTAAGATTTGGGGGTTTACTCATAATTCAGCAGAGTATGTAGAGTGTACAAATTCAGAATCTTCCCTCAGATTATCTTTAAGGATGACTGTCATGCCAGATGTTTCTTTTTTTATTTTATTTTTTTTAATTCTGGAAAATTTCAAATGCAGAAGAGTGGAAAAAGTAATGTATGAATCCCATATACCTGTCACCCAACCTCAGCAATGATCAGCTTATGGCCAGCCTTTGTTTCTTCTTTAAAACCACATTATTTGGAGTTGTACTAGGTTTTTTTAATCAAATTTTTAATTTTTACTTAGTTTCGGCACTTTGGAAACCCTATAACATCACCGAAGAATTTACAACGTAGAAAATCAAGAAGCAAGGACTATGATGTATACAGTGATAATGATATCTGCAGTCAGGAATCAGAAGATAATTTTGCCAAAGAGCTTCAACAGTATATAAAAGCCAAAGAAATGGCAAATGCTGCTCAATCCCTACCATTTCCTGAAGAATCTGTGAAGAAAGAGGAAGCAAAGGGTACACAGAAAGGTAAAGGTCAAACTATTTGATCGTTTAAGTAGCTATCCCCAACCTTTTTGGCACCAGGGACAGGTTACCTGGAAGACAGTTTTTCAGGTGGGGCAGGGTGTTGGTGGACAACCCCTGACTTAAATTCTATCTAGAGGAGTAGCTGCAGTTGTCCATGAATTGGGCATTTTCTCAGATCATAGTTTTTATGGATCTTTCCACCAGATGTGAGGTTGCGTAGCCTAAGACCCCCACTAAGGCCTGGCCACACAGTGTACAATGCTCAGTTTGTAGGAGGAGCTGAGTTCAGGAGGGTTATCAAAGGCCATGAGTACTTTGAAAGGGAGAGCACTAAACTCCAGCTCCTGCATGTGTAAAGGATGAACACACCTGTTTGTTTGCATTGCTGTCATCTGAAGACGAATTGACTTAATATCCGGAAAGGTAATGGTCAGACTCACCTCAGACATACTTTCTTTTAGATTACTAAACTGAAATTTAGCCATAGACAATGAGGACAAATGAGAATTATAAATGAAATTCTTTTTCTGAGGCTTCTATTTGTGTTTTTTTCTGATTTTTAAAGAAAATTTCAGTTACAGTTGGCATACAGTATTAGTTTCAGCAACTAGACATTTATATAATTTGCAAAGTGAGTTATATAAATACGTCTCATACCCATCTGATGCCAGAGTTACTGCAGTATCATTGTATAAATGAAATTCTTAATCCTCTCATTTTACTGACTCTCCCCTTTAAATGTTTTTCTGTATAAAATGGGTCATCTAAATTTAGTCTCTTGTGAAGTGTTCCCAGTGAAAAATACATTAGTAACGCATGCAGCTCAAACATTTGAAGTTTTACTGTTGCAGTGCTATGGAGTTCCTGATTAGACCCAAAACAGTCGGAACACTTCCAAAGGGTCTGGCTGGTGGCTAGTTAGACTGACTTCAGTCATTATCTTGTTTTTTTTCCTGACAGTACTGTATATATTTTCACAGAGAATGGGTTAGGATACAGAATATATTGATGCTGTCTTTGATCTTTTAATCCCTCAGTTTCTAGGAAGACAGAGTAGCATCATGCCCATTTCACTTGTTGAATAGAACTTTGAGATTATTATAGAGTGTACTTTTAAAGAGTAAACTGCTGTTGTGCTTTTGGTCATCATTAAAATTAACTTTGTGTTTTAGCTGTTAAACAAAAAAAGAAAAACCTTAAAGCAGCCCACAAGAATGGTAAACAGAAGAAAATGAAGCGGAAATGGCCTGGCGCTGCAGACAAGGGGTCCAGTGCATCACTGAGCAACAGTGGCTCACAGGAACAGGTACAGGGACCATTCTGTCTTATCTTCAGTGACAAGCCACAAAGGGAGGGTTATCAGAGGTGACATCTCCCACCTGAGTGGCTTCCACGTTCTCCCTCACGCAGGAGCCGCCAGCCCCTGCCCACAGCCTTTGTGTTGCACCTGACATCCCAAATGTATGCACACAGCCCCTTGATTTTTGAGTGTTGTGCTCTCAGTGTCCATGGGAATACAGATGCTCATGTGAAAGGCCACAGAGAATTACAAAGATTCTCCTGTTGCAATCCCTGGTCTACTGGTTCTTGACTCCCTCTGGAAATTAAAAATGAATGTATCTGAGCATTGGCCTTACCAACCACCTTCTCCAACTACATTCTCCTTGTAGTTTGATTTTTCTTGTAGAAGTTCCTCTTCCTTGGTCTGTGTATGTTATCAGGGTGGGACAGTAAGTGATTCCTCTGGACTTGCCTTTCTAAGGGCTTCTAGAATGTGTGGCAACCGTTTTTATTAGGTTTGGCCATAGGAACAAGTGGTAAAATATTAAAAATACCAAATATTATAGATTGAAGCACTGATGTAAAATCTTGCTCTGCCCCCATATTTTACAGATGAGAAATTCGAGGCCCCAGAGGTCAAGTGACTGCCTGTGGTTACACAGGGCCCGGCCTGCACTAGGACTTTGTGTTTTCACCCCCATCAGTATTGCCTTTCATTTGGTTTAAAGCCTACATTGGTTTATTGCCTACATTGATTTAAAAGGTTATTTGGGCAAAGCTGATAGCTCTCGTATATGAGGAACAAATTGTAAATATATACGTCACAATTTAATAACATAACCAAATAAAACTAGCTTTAAACTAACATATTTATAAGACATATTTGATAGTGCTAAGTGGAAATTTGACATTATTGCAAAGCAGACGTGTGAATGTACAGCCAGCGTCCTTCTTTGCACCTACTATATTTCTTAAACTATTCAGAAATTTGGTGTACAGAAGCTAGAAGCTGTATTGTAAGTTAACACACTAAGAGCGGTTTATGCTTCTAAGGAGCTAAAAGGTATTTTGAAATCCCCCTTTGTTTATACATCTTTATCACTATCTTTGAGCTTATAGTCCTAGTTACGTTTATTTGATCTGATTAGTATACTCAGCTCACACCCAGAGAGCATCTCATTGAAACACTCCACTGCTTTCAATTCGCCTTATGATTTCCAGCTTGGTCTCAATTAACCAAAACATCCTTGGTCTGTACTTCACTTTTTATCACAAGTAGTAACACTTCTATTTAAAAAAATTTTTTTATTCATTAAAAAAAAATAACAGCATGCCCTTGGCTCATGTGGCTCAGTGGATTGAGCGCCAGACTGTGAATCAAAGGGTCACCAGTTTGATTCCCAGTCAGGGCACATGCCTGGGTTGCAGGCCAGGTCCCCAGTAGGAGGTGTGCAAGAGGCAACCACACATTGATGTTTCTCTCCCTCTCTGTCTTCCTCCCTTCCCCTCTCTGAAAATAAATAAATAAAACCTTTAAAAAAAAAGTAAAGGCAAAGTACAATAAAATATTCAGGTTGTATAAATACCAATATTCAATGATGGAATGCTGTTGAAACTGACAAAAGCATTCATTTTTTCAGCCGGTGTACCAAAGTCCAAATCTGTACATCAAGGCAAATTTGAGAGTCACCTCTTAATGTTTTATAGGTGGTTTAAAATAATTTCATGCAGTGGAATAAGATTTTCTTTTTCTCACATTTTTTTGTTTTTTTTCCAAAGGATGGTAAACCTAAAGAGAAGCAGCACGTGCGAATGAGTCAGGGTTTTATCAACCAGCACACAGTGGAACGCAAGGGGAAACAAGTCTGTAAATACTTCCTTGAAAGGAAGTGTATTAAGGTATAAAAATGTGTCAGCAAAAACATACTAAAATGTAAGATACAGCCAAAAATGTACTAAAACCAACTTCTGTTTCTACTAAACACGCTAAAAGCATACCTTGTTTCCTTCTGGAAAAGTTCACTTGGAAAATTTTACTATTTTATGTTTAAGAAAGATATTTTTTTTAAATGTATTATAGTCACAAATTGTTTAGGACTTAAAATTTTAAGTAGATAAATGTGATATGGCCATAAGATAACTCCTTAAGAATTAGACTGTATACATTCTAAGACTTTGGTTTTTTTCCTGGAGTTATTGGTTTATCTACAGTTTAGTAGCAGTTATATGGACTTAACTGTGAGAAATAATGGCTTTTCCTTGTTCCTTCTCTTGGCTCAGGGAGACGAGTGTAAATTTGATCATGATGCTGAGATAGAGAAGAAGAAGGAAATGTGTAAGTTTTACGTACAAGGATATTGTACCAGAGGTGAAAACTGCCTGTATTTGCATAATATCCTTTATCACAAGATATTATAACTTTACTCTTCCTAAATACTTATGCAGGCATTTTAAATATGTATAATTTTGAGTGAAGCCAGTGTTTTAGCTATGGCAAAAGTATATCATCTAAGCCAAAATCGGTAAGTATTGAAATGATTAAATTGTATACAGATTTTTTTTTCCCCTATAAGAAAAGAGGGATTCCCTAGAAATTCTGTCGGAAATGCAGCAGGTTTCATGAGACCTGTTCAGGTCCCAGAAAGTCTTTGTCAGGGTTTCTGCATTGACGTTCACTCATCGAATCTATATTCGTGTAAGCTCCTCCATAAGAAGAGGCAGGAGCTGCGTAATCTGGGAACGCTTGTTTTCTGTGTTCTGTACTCGCAGGGGTGTCTGACTTTTTGGCGCGTCTGGACCACATTGGATGAAGAGTTGTCTTGGGCCACACATTAAATGAAAACACTAGTGAAAATTGATAAGCAAAAAAAAGTTTTAAGTAAATTTATAATTTTGTCTGGGGCCACACAAACACTAATGAAAACTAACGAGCAGAAAAAAAACAAACAGGTTTTAAGTAAATTTACAGTTTTGTCTGGGGCCACACAAACACTACAAAAAAACTAACGAGCAAAAAAAAAAAAAAACCCTCCAAAAAACCAGGTTTTAAGTAAATTTACAATTTTGTTTTGGGCCACATTCATAGCCACCGCGGGCCTCATGTGGCCCAAGGCTTAGCTGTCCCTCTCTTAATTTGAAGAATAACTCTCCCTGCAGCACTCATGGTACAGACCGATTACAAAGGCATGGAACATGAACATTGTAGGGTAATAGCAGCTTTAGTCACTTTCATTCATTTGCTACAAGAAATCTTAAATTACAGCTTGAGAATCTTTTCCTAGGAAATAATGTTGCCATTGTATAAATTGATCCTGTTACACAAGGATCCAGATTTAAGACATATCATTGTCACTCATTTTAATTCCTCTACTCCAAAAGAGCATTTTAAAAATAATCACACTTCTCAAGGTATTTATACACATCTCTTTCTTATATCAATGGAGTCTATCTGTAGTCTATTATATGAATAGATATGAAGCAGAAAATGTCCTGTGATAGCCAATAAGTTGATTTATTTAATCATCCTGAAATTAGATTTTTTCACGTAACCCAGTTAATAATTTATTGTCTTAAATGGGGAATTTTAAATGCGCAGTTCAATGTTTCTACTAGTCAGAAGGGCCTTTAGGAAGAATAAAGTCTGTAAATGAATAGCAAGTTATTATAGTTGGATTAAGATTGTTCTCTTCCTTAACATTGGGATACATGAATATCCTTGCAAGTTTTACCACACAGGAACAAAATGTTACCAGGGAGAGCACTGCAAGTTTTCACATGCTCCTCTGACGGCCGAAACGCAGGAACTGTTGGCTAAAGTAAGTACGATTTTAGTCCTTTTTTTTCTTTTTTTTTTAAGGAATTCGAACTAAAGGTGAGAATTTGAAAAGCTACTGTTCTTAAAAGGAAAGTGCCTCATAGCTTAGCATGTGACGTATAGGAGGACTAATAATTTAAGAATTTACTTCATTTTAGAATGTTATTATTCATTTATACATTTGTCCTTGTAGTTTAAAGGAAAAGTTACATTCATTGCTGGTGTAGATTAGAATGTTCTTAAAACCTTCAGTGCAGTTACAAGTGTTAATAGCTCAGCTTAAAAAAGGAAACGGCAAATATGAGAAAGGTATTGCTGTTATTCTCTCAGAAGGACAGTTAAGGATCATTGGTTAATAAACATGTTAGAGTTACATCACAGAATGTGGGGGCAGCTTTGCCCGAAAAGTCTTCCCGTCCACCACAGATGAAAGTGAAACTGCCAAGACATGATCTGCTTGGGGAGGAAGGGTGGCTGATCCCTCAAAGGGGAAGGGCCAAGAGCCCCTTCCTCAAGGGGCTTTAATTGGGTTCGTTTGTACAAGAACACAGGTAAGGATCAAACAATGGATAGCATTCAAAGAACTGTGAGGGCTTATTCTCAGTCAGGGTCAGATAGCTGAAGAGCCATAAGACTTTGAGGGACATACTTCTTGCTTGGACGCTTATCATTTAAATGAGAGCATTCTAAACAAACCAGGTTTCACAGGATTTTTACATATTCTTTTTTAGGCCTGATCACCTGGGGAACCCACCCTTTCCAGCACAGGGCTGCACCCCTTTCCCCATTATAGGTTTTTAGGATTAAGTGGATTAGAGCCAGGAAGCGCTTCTCCCAGACAGAAATGGGGACTCAGGCTATGTCAGAATAGCCAGGGGGTGAGGGTCCATCGCTCCCTCTTTGCTGCAGCTCCCTGCCCCCCAGTCCTTCCATGATGGCCTCCAAAGTGATCTTGTCTGGTTTAGGTTGCCCCTCTCTGTGAGGAGTCTTACCCATCATGGACATCGACTGTGCTTTAGGGGCAGGGAAGTAAACTGAGGCAGCATTTGCTACCAGAGACAAGCTTTTGTCTCTTGAGTGGCTGGCATTATGGAGGTCGCTCACTCAGCCTTAGCCATGGGAGGCAGTTACAATTCCTGAAACCAGGCAGAGCGGTTCCCAACAACAGAGTACTCCAGTTACTTCAGAATGTTATCTTCAGATGGTCTTTCTTCTGTGAGAAAGGATAGTTGAAAAATAATAGCCATCTATATTCTCTCATTTCCCATGTGTTATTTGGAGCAACTGTCTCTAAAATTAACTTGAAATATAAGTGGAAATGAAAGAATCATTTAAAAAGATTCTTTTAAAACTAAGCCATACCAACTTATGGCAGTGTTTTTGAGCATATGCAAATGTTAGAAAGTCAAAGGTGCTTGTTTCTGATATTTTTAGGTTGTAAAATCTGAAGGGATGCTCTGGCATTAGAAGTCGTACCTAATATGTCATTCGTACCTAGTATGAAATATATGTGGAAGAATTGCATATAAAATTTGTTTTTCAGTTTCTCTTTCAGTCAATATGAGATGATTACTAGGATGATTATTATTGGGATCTTGAGAAAATTACAGGAGTAGGATGATATACCTGATAATGCATAAAAACAGTTATGATTTTTTTTTATACTAGGTTTTGGATACTGAAAAGAAGTCATGAAAATAAAATACATTTAAAAAGGTAACATTAGGGTTTAGTACTTTTTTTCCCCTTAAAACACCTCTGGAAATTGACATGGAAACCAGGCTTTTACTTTTTCTCAAAAAAAAATCATTTTCTCTCTCTTCCCCTACTAAAATGTTTAAAAAATATTTGGTACATAGGTGCAGATATACAGGGTCTGGCAGAATTAACGTCTGGTTGAGTGCGGTTGGTAGGGCAGTGATATGGGCGTAATAATTTGTAGTTTCAATTTGAACATTTGACCTAAAATATCATGTGCTGTGCTTGAATGTGATATTGTTATGTTACAGAAGTACATGCTTATGATTTTGTAATGGAAAATTTTGTAATAAAATAGGGCCGTTATCCGTGCCAGACCTTGGATATTGTGGGTGTCCATGGACCAACTTCCTCCTTTAGGTTTCTCACCATATTTTGTATTTTATTTTCCTCCTCTGTCTCTTTGTAAATTTGTTGAAGGTACATGATTCACTAAATAGTGTATTCGGTCATGCTTGCGTTTGGATTTTTTGAAATAGTATCATACTCTATATTAATTGGTGACCTGCTATTTTCACTGAACAATAGCCTTCTAAGATTTTTTTAAGGTTTTATTTATTTATTTTTAGACAGAGGGAAGAAGGGAGAAAGTAAGGGAGAGAAACATCAATCTGTGGTTGCCTCTTGAGCACCCACTGTCGGGGGACCTGGGCTGCAACCCAGGCATGTGCCCTGACTGGGAGTTGAACCAGTGACCCTTTGGTTTGCAGTCCAGCATTCAGTCCACTGAGCCACAGCAGCCAGGGCTTATCCTTCTAAGATTTATGTAGATGCATGCAGCTGTCATTCATTCATTTTTACTCCTACATCACATTTTAGTCATTGAATGTTGGAGTTTATTTAGTTATTCTACTATTGATGGACACTGAGGTTTCCTTCGGTTTTTTAAATACTACAAATGATCATGTTCCTGTCTCCTGGTTTAAATGTGTGTGAGTTGTCCTGGGTGCATACCAAGGAGTTGAATTGTTGTATCATCTTAATATTTAAGAATTTAAGAGTAAATACAACATTCTTAAATAAATACTTAAAAATATTTAGAATTGTTGTATCATCTTAATATTTAAGATGATACCAATCTTCTCTGAGTAGTTGTACACCCACCAACTGTAAAAGAACTGTTGATTCACTTGCTGGTCATTGTTTTCTTCAGACTTTTTTTTTTATAACCAATTTAGTAGGTGTAAAAATGGTGTCGTGTGGCTTTATTTTCATGAAGTTCGGATTCCTTTCTTATTAGCTTCTGAGTTTCACCTTTGGTGAGGTGCCTGTTAACGTCTTTTGCTTGTGTTTCTGTTGGGCCGATTGTCCTCTGCAAATTGGTTTCGTGGATTGCTGACACAGTCCTTTGTGAGATGTGTGTGGCAGGTCTTCTTCTGTTTGGTGGGCTGGCTTTTCACTTTTTTTGAGGTGTCTCAGCAGAATTACTTACCTTGACAGTCTTTTTCTCAGTTTTACTTTTTTATATTTATATTTTAATCCCTCGGAAATTTTCAGTGAAAATTTGTCATGATAATGGTTTTTAACAAACAACCACAAACTCTCTCTGTACCGTGTAAAAATAAACATTTCCTTTTCATGTATCTGCAGATTGGCTGGGTTGGCTCTACTTCCTACAGCAGGTTGATTGGATGGTTCTGCCCCACATTTGTCCTCTTGGGATCGGTGGGCTAGCTGGGTGTGTTCATTTCATAGCAGCTCAAGAGGCCCTTTTTTCATCACATTTACTCACAACCCATTGGCCAAAGTCCAGGAGTAAGAATTGTACTCTGTGTACTTTCTCTGTGAGAGGAACTGCTGGATTACCTGGAAAAGGGTGTGGCTGTGGATAAAAGGAGAATGGAGGAATCAAAACTAATTACTTCTTTGATTTAATGGGAAAGCTGAATAATACTTTATTGTATGTATATGTCATATATAATGTGCACTTTTTGTCCAAATTTTTTAGGGAAAAATAAGGATGTACATTATACATGGGTAGTTCTAATTCTCAGTCTGCGTAAATGTTTTTTATTTATGCTTATGCATTAAAAGTTAAACTCTAGAAAACAATAACAATATCTGTATGTTCAAAATAAATGCTAAAATTCTTCTATAATACCAAAAAATGTATCTAAATGTAAATAAAGAAAAAATTGATTAAAAAAATTAAAAGAATTTTTCCTGAAAGTTTGGGTCAAAAACATGGGTGCACATAACATGTGGCAGAAAATGATATTACATTTTACTCACTCATTTACCTGTCAGTGGTCACTTGAGTTGCTTTCAGGTTTTAACTGTTGTGAATAATGCTCTTATGGATGTGGGTATATAAATACCTTTTTGAAACCCTACTTTCAATTCTAAATATATACCCAGAAGTAGAATTGCAGGATCATATGGTAATTCTTTTTTTTTTAAGATTTTATTTATTTATTTTTAGAGTGGGGAAGGGAGGGATAAAGAGGGAGAGAAACATCAGTGTGTGGTTGCCACCAAGTGCCCCTTAGTGGGAACCTGGCCTGCAACCCAGGCATGAGCCCTGACTGGGAATTGAACTAATGACCCTTTGTTCTCAGGCCGGTGCTCAATCCACTGAGCCACACCAGCCAGGGCCATTTTTAATTTGGGGGGACGCCTCTATATTGCTTCCCACAGTGTCTACCAATCTGCATTCCCACCAACAGTGCAAAAGGGTTCCCGTTTACTCCACATCCTCACCAGCACTTGTTTGTTGATAACCATTCTGACAGGTGTGAGATGGTATCTCATTGTGGTTAATTTGCATTTCTCAGATGATTAGTGACATTGAGCATCTTTTCTTACAGATGCGTATTGGTCTTCTGTAGGTCCTCTTTGGGGAGGTGTCTATTCAGGTCCTTTGCCCATTTTTTAATTGGGTTTTTTGGGGATTTTTTTGGTGTTGAGTTTTGTAAGTACTTTATAAATTTTGGATATTAACCCCTTATCAGATGTACCAGCAAATGTGTTCTCTCATTCTGTGGGCTATTTTTTTATTTTGTTGATGATTTCCTTTGCTGTGCAAAAACTTTTAGTTGGATGTAGTTCCATTCGTTTTTTGTTTTTTCCTTTTGTTTCCCTTGCCTGGGGAGATATCCAATAAAAAAATTGCTGGGAGCAATGTCTGAGATTTTGCTGCCTGTGTTTTCTTCTAGGATCTTCATGGTTTGGGGTCTAACATTTAAGTCTTTGATCTGTTTTGAATTTATTCTTGTGTATGGTGTAAGAAGGCAGCATAGTTCA